TTCTAAAAGAGTTTCAGCCTGCCTACCTTTCTTCCTTCCTTTCCTTCCTTCCCTCCAACGGGGTCTCCCTCTGTCACCCAGGCTGAGGAGCACTGGCATAATCACAGCTCACTGCAGCCCCGACCTCCTGGGCTCAAACGATCCTCTGCCTCAGCCTCCCATGTAGCTGGGACTACGGGTGCCTGTCACCAGGCTTGGCTAAATTTTTTTGTCTTTTGCAGAGATGGGGTCTTGCTATGTTGCCCAGACTGGTAATGATCTCCTGGGCTCAAGTGATCCTCCCACCTGAGCCTCCCAGAGTGCCGGAATTACAGGCATGAGATACCACACCAGACCTCTTTTTTCTTTATTACATATTCCTCTAATAAAGTGCTCTGTATGCAGTGGGCATTCAATATTTGCTTAATTAAACTGAACAGAAAGTTCTTCTAGCTACCATGTAAAGTATCTAAATTTATGTCATTGATCCTAGAACTGCTCTCTGAGGCAACACAAATTATACCTATGACAGTTCTTCAAATTTGTGAAGCACATACTCAAAATAAGGATGTCAAAAATCCAACACACATGCTGACACTCTAATGTCCCAGACACAGTAGGCATTAGCAATCTGAACATATTTCTTACTAAGCCTGCACAGTTTTAGAATTCTTCTCAACCCAACATTCAAAAGCCATTTGCCATTGCAGCCTAAGTTTTCGTGTCCCTAATTCATTCATTCCAAGTCCCCTCAGCCATTGCTCATATGCAGATTCCCTGTGCATCTTGGTCACAGTGATCTGAATGGATACTAATTTATCAATGATGTACCTAAAGCAACTTATTTCATTTTCTTGAACTGAATATTCTAGGTATAGTCTGTTTAAAAAGTGAAGAATTATTAGCTTCTCCATTTCAGTATTATATTTCTAGCGGTGCTGCCCAAAATGAGTAGCTATGATAACAGCCTCTTGTTACACCACTGGTATATACTGAACTTGCAGTTAATTTAAAATATTCAGGTTTCCTTTCCACAGTCTGCTGGTTAAGTCCTCCCCTAAAACTGTGCTCCCCAACCCTCTATTCTCTCCTAAATTGATTTTTTGAACTTAATCGTAGTATTGTACATTTAAGTAAATGTAAATGATCCAGATTCTATCATTCAACAGAATGTCTGCAGTATCTGCTGGCTTTATGTTTCACATGATAAGCATATCGTCTGTGCCTTCAGACACACTATCAGCCAACATGTCGGTGCTGGATGTATTTTCCCAATGTTGCGTAAGAGAGAATACCTTCGAGAGTTTGGCCTAGGAACGTGGCCTGGGACTCCGCCAAGCATCTCTCTCCAGCAAAATGACTGCAGATTTCTCGACCTTCAGATTCTACATCATGTACAAGAAATTTGTCTGTGTTTAAAAACACATTCAAGAAATAAGTGAACATGTGAAAAGATAGAAAAACTTGTTTCAATTTGGGCATAGTTTCAGTTTTCAAAGGCACATGAAGGCAGAAAGAAAGAATCAGAAAATGGAACTACTGATGATAACAACTCCAAAACCAAGGCTAATTAGACTAAATCCCATGGGAAAAATTTTATTTAGTAAGCTTCCTTCTCCCTCTCTCTCTCTCAAGTACGCACACACACACGCGCACACACACACACACGCACGCACCTTTTAGTAATTTTTAAAAAAGTTTTCTGCACCTGATTGCTTCCATGAATGACACAAAGTACAGACAATATGAGTTTCTTTGGTTATCATGCAATTTTTTCTCTGCTTACCAGAAATTGGCACAAATTTAAGATATACTATATTCTACTCCCTGAAGCACAGTAGCTGGCATCTCCACTGGCATTTAAAAATTTGAAGACATTTAAAAGAAAATCCACAAGTTTATAGTTGCTGTCTAAATCAACTTTAACATTTCGTATATTCACAATTTCCTGAGTGAATCAAATTACACATAAGAAATTGTAGAACTAAGCCAACTAAATGACTTTAATAATACGTAGGTAGTGGGCAAAAATAGTATTCAACCTTTTTCCTCCAATTTCTGCCTTTCTTCCAGCAAAACAAATAAACCATTTTCTATGAAGTTTCTGTCTGCATCACTAGTGATAATCTGAAGCAGCTATTAATCAATCTATCAGTGCATTCAGCAGCATTTATCAAAGTACCTTCCCTGCCACCAGAACTGTTTTGGATGCTGTTGTGGTTGCATGCAAAAATGAACTAAATATAGATTTTTTTCATCCAAGAATTTTAAGTCAATTTGTG